CTGCATGTCTTCTGTTAATAATGCTTATGCCAGACATCACCTAAAATGTATTCCTGGGGTCCAGAGCTGATATCTGGGTTTCCCAATTGACTACAAATCTCCCAACCCAGCACATGTGCTCATACGTACAACACATTCAGACATTCTCTCCTGTAAATACCATGGTGTGGTTTTAGATGATGAGACACAAGCAAAGAACACATTTAAGTATTCTTTTCCTAATTTACTGAAATAATTTTACAAGGTTTACATGATAAGTATGCATTTTATAAATCCTAGGTAACAGCAAGAAAAGTTACAAGCACACACACACACACAAACAATATCAGCCTGAATCTATTTCAGATACAATTCAGGCCTGAAAAGCAACATTATAAGCCTAATTCAGTATTACCAACCAGAGTACATATCAGTTACAGTACAGCCAGGCCGAACCCTAAGAATTATATTTTCTCATCCTAAATACAGACACTTTACAAAGAATTCTTCATTTATATTGTAATGAAGTAATCTATTGTTGATCTTCAGAGGGAAATACAGTAGTCAAAATAGCAATCTTTATTTTAAAAATGTTTATGCTGCTTTTTTTGTTCTAAAAAGGTCATCCAAACTATTGTTTCCAAAAAGAATAACATTAAAACCAGAACTTTACTGCAAGAGAAATAGTTGTTGAATAATCTTCAGCAACTAAAACCTCAGCAGCAACAGTGAGACAAAATAAATGTAAGGACACAGAAATGAAGATTCAAATACTTTTGCAAAATGAGAATTTATTTTGCCCTTTCAGATTAGTGGCAGTTCATATAACACTGGGGTTGACATGAAACCTCTCTAGGCATCATTGCACCTCTCTCTCTCTCTCTCTCTCTCTCACACACACACACACACACACACACACAAGCTAAATTGCAAAATAATAAAAACTATTCCAGGCCAGAAACTGCTGAGGGGCATAGAAACCCACTCCTAGCTAATAATCTTCTATCCCTGAAGTTCATAGAGGTGGGTATTTTTTTTCTTTTCAGCTTCATAAGTATTTTTCCATGAAAGAAATAGAATAACCTTCATTGTTAAAAATTGACTGACATGCTGAAAGCCCACCTTCAGACTTTATTACAATAGGGAGCCTTGGTGAGGATGAATTTCACGTCCCACTAACTTATTTTCAAGAAGGCAGGGTTTTCCTCCCAAGAAAGTGGAGAGGTGTACTTATAGTGTTTTATTAGAACTGAAAATATTCCTTTTCTAAAAACTCAGATGGGGTAAAAGACCATGTCTCAGAAAGAAACCCTGTGGTTGTATACACATAACCACTCAGTTTCTGGCAGGGGAGATTTTTGTCTTCCAGCCTATGTCTATGGAGTCTTTTGCTCCATCCCTTCCACCTTGCTAGCTGATTTTGGATGGGGGAAGCTTTATTCTCTCCTACTCAAGTCAACTGAACTATTTTCTCTACTCACTTGAATGAGAAGGGGAAAAATTCTGTCCTCCTTGCCCATGGCCTCTGTCTCTACCCACTGTTTGCATTTCTCCATGTGCATTTTACCTGTCCATTTCCTAGCATATGTCTATTTTGTGTGTGTGCCTGTGTGTGTCTGCTGTCCATCTCTTCACGGTAGCTGTCTATTTTTTTCTGACTGCTTGCAAATCATGCTTGGTATGGTAAATATGGATAGAGAGAAGTTCTTCTCCCCTTCTGCAATGTCATAATTCAGGCTCACCCATTGAAACAAAACATGGTGAAACACAGAAGGTATAAAAAGAAATGCTTCTTTATATAATGCATAATTAAACTATTGAATTCACTGCCGCCAAATATTTCCAGGATGTCTTAGGGAAGGAGAGGTGCAAAATCAGATGTAATTTTAGACAAGTCATTAAAATGTACCAGACCATTTTTTGGATGTCTGCTTCATTGCTTGGCTCCATGACAGAACATTTTGGTGTATCTTTTTCATAAATTTAACAACTTCACAAGATTTGTCAGGAAAAAGGTCCCATAATATGGGAATATGGAAAACTGCCTTATATTGAGTCAGACCATTGGTCCATCTACCTCAATATTGTCTAAAAAGAACCCAGAAGCTCTTCAGGGTTTCAGACTACAGTTGTTCCCAACCCTGCTTGGAGAGACCAGGGATTAAACCTTTAATCTCTGCACCTGGAGCAGAAACCATTACTGTGCTCCCTTGGAAATGTTGATGAACATTCTGTAAAGAGTCTGCATGATGGGGAAAAGCATGAATCCTATTCTGGATCTGGAGTTCACTTGAATTTGACATTGTTGATTAGTTATTTTTTCATCAGCAAAAGTAAAGCCATTTTTGCATTACTTAAATTTTATTTTGCTCCAAATCTCTTGGAATCACATATTTATTCCTGGAACTGCAGATGTTGTCCCTGGCTGTAGATTTAATCATTAATTATGGCTCCTGGGAAGTAACTGCTGCCCTTTTGGACAACCATGGTGATGGACCCCAAGTTAGATGGTTTTACAAGGAAACTAGACAAATTTGTGGAGGATTTAGCTATTAGTGTCTACTAGTTTTGTCGGCTAGATCTGATCCAATTTGAATTATTAATTCAATCTGTCTATTTAATTCAAATGTTGAGTTCAAAGAACCAAATCAGTTCAGTTCAGATGACTGATATGATTTGGAAAATGGGGGGGGGGGTTGCACATGTGTAAATTGTCAAATAGGTTGAGAAAGTTGATTTGGAAAATTGATTTAGAGAATTGGTTTGGAACTCAGTTGCTGATAACACTTTGGTTGTAGGCTGGACTGAGAAATTGAAAAGCATCTCAGGAGGCAGTGACAAATCACTTCAGTACTGTTACCAAGAAAACTGCAAGGATGTGTCCATGAAATTACTAGGAACTGAACTCAACTCAAAGGAAACTTTACTTCCTCTGAATCACAGGAAGCACACTGGAAAAAGTTGGAAGACAGTCACAGCAGAAAAGAGCTATCACCCTCTTGCTCTTATTTGCAAATTTCCTGAATGCATTTGGTTAGTCAGTGTAGGACACTGTATGTTGGATTAAGTGGGCCTTTGTCCTGATTCTGCAGAGCTTTTGAATGTTTCTAAATCCTACAGTAATGTTTAACAGTAGAAAAGATTCAGAATATAGTTCAACCACCATATTTCAAAAATGCAGCAAGAGTGCCCCCTTGTGGTTATTTCAGCAACTTACCATCCCTGACAGGGGCTCTCCCATTTACTTGGGAGTAAGCCCCACTAAACACCAGGAAGTTATTTCTGAATAAGGCATGCAGTCTGAAAGCCTCTTTAAAGCGTTTTTCCCGGCAGAATAAGTCCAGACAATTCTCTTCCCTACCCTTTTTTGAGTCCTTTTTCAGGTGTTAAAGAGTAAGGTACTTTTCCCAAAAACATTGAACCAACTGTGAATGTCTCAAACTGTGAGATCTGGTTTTTCACTGTAGCAGGTAATTGTAAGCCGGCTTTGGGGTTTTACTCTAGAGCCAAAAGGTAAGCCTACTGCTTTAGACATGCAAATGGATTCTTTAAATCAACCAGATTTTAAATGGATTTAATGAATAACACAATATAGTCGAACCTTGCCTGTAGCATTGTAGAGTCATTTCCGAATCTAATTACCATTTCACTTTGAGGTATGCCGTCTTGTCTGGCCTCAAAAGCTAGTTATTTGTAGTTAGTGGATCATTTTC